TAAAAATATCTGAACAGTGTTGAGTCCTTGAGCAAATAAGCAGCGCTTAAAATTGAGTTTTTTTTGGTTATTCGCAATATTGGATATAAATGGGTGTCTTTTTAGATTTGTGGTTTTCAAAAAAGAAATAAAATGAATATAATTTAATGTTATGTCTACGAATTTAGTTTTGTTATTTATAAAGGTAAGGATTCATCGGTTTAGTGACCACCGTTTCGTGGCTGACTAGATTAAAATCACACCGGGAGTCCCTATTTTCGACCACTTTTTGCAGCGGTTTGGAGTCGTTTGTGAGCAAGTGACTTGCTAATTACACAAAAAATAGTCCAGCGGTTTTAAATCGCACCCCCATAGAGGCCACGCCAAAGTTTCCTTCAATAAAATGACTGTTTCGATGGGTATATGATACTTAGCGCCGTCTTGTTGGAACCAAAGGTCGTACACATCAACATCCATCAATTCAGGCAAAAAAAAGTTATTAATGTTGTCTCTGGTGCATTCCCCATTGACTGTAACATTATTTTTAAGCCAACAAAGCAATATTCTTCCGCAAAATCTTCCATAAACTACTTGGGCAAAGCTCCAATTGTTGCGTGCGATGGCGGATGGATTCTTACGGTCCTTCTTCTGGAGTCTCCAACCATGCCCCCATGCGTATTATCATCTAAGGCAGACGTGGTGCGAAACCGTTTGAATCTTTGATCAATAAAACAACCCATGTAGAAGCTTGAATCATGTCTGAAAGTGTGGGTTTCACTTAAATACCCTTCCGCAGCGAGATTTAGGCTGCTACAACATAAAACTCGGCTGCAATAACAAAACGAATACAACAGCCCGGGAGAAGTGCTTCCAATTGAAGGAAGAGGAAAATTTGATGGACAAGACAAGGACGGAAGAAAATAGGCTTTTGCCATCGTAGCCACTGAAGCGACTTTCGATCGAGCTCCTCCGCCAACAAATGAAGGGACCTAAAGTTTACGATAAGTGGTTGACATACCCCACCGAGGGGCCATTGTAAATAGGAAAATTAATTTTCTATTATTTTGTCTTTGGTCTCATAACTCTCAGCATGTTAGTTCGCTCTTATAATCACTCGACTGAAACGGCTGATGCCCATTACGAAACTCTTATTTTGGTGCTAGCTTTATAAAAGAGAGACAGACTCTGAATCTGAGTACTGGCACCATCTATGTAGACCTACGTCCAGTCACAAGCCACGGGCAGCACTCGACTGAAGCGGCCACTGCTGAAACCATTAAGAAACCCAAATTCGGTGTTAGCTTTTTAGTAGAGAGAGACTCTGCAGCTGAGTACTAGCATGATCCAAGTAGACCAACTTTCAGCCACAAGCCACGCATACCACAAGCAATGAAGGTTATATTCAGACTACACTATTGCCGCAGACATATGAACTCAAACAGGTGATCTGCTGAACGATATCCAGTCTCCAACTTGCTGATGGGCAGTGAAGTAACCAGAAGTAACTAACTCGAAAAGCCAAGCCGAATGATGAGGAAGAAATAGACGTTCCAACACCCAAAAATGAACACATTCACTCGGCTGAAAGGATCAGCTGTAGAAGGATCTAGTCTCAGTTGGTACTAAACTGCGTAAAGAAGTAAAGACTGACTAACTGAGATGCTGTTGGTACCTAAGTCTAAGGGGAAGAAGAAGAAAAAGTTCACTTAAAATAGTGAAATAGGAATCAACAAACGGTGTGGGTCGCCAACATTTATTTTTCCAGTAGTGCGACGCTATTAAAATTTTTTTTAATAATATAATAATACTAATTCTAATCTAATTCTGCTCTGCTTCGCTGAACAAACATCAATTTGCATGATCTAATGAAATAAATATGTGAAAAACTGTCATTAATGCATATGAAATTTATGTATATATGTAAAGGCGGCCGCGGTAGCTGAGTGGTTAGCATTGCGTTCTGCCATTCGGTAGGCTCGGGTTCAAATCCACGTGCGACCCACAACCAAAAGTTATCGAAAATTTATTTAAAAAAAAAAAAAAATTAATAATTATTTATATATATATATATATATGTAAAGGCTTACAAAGAATTTCACTCCTTGAGGTTAAAAATTTCCAAAAAGTGTGAAATTTATATAAAATTTTTTTTTTTTGAAATTAGTCTTCTAATATTTTTTTTTAATATTTTTCCTTCTGAAATGGAAAAATGTATTTTTTAACCTTCAAATTTCTTTTCACTTATTTTTACTCCAATATTTTTCTTGGTCACTTGGACATCTCGAGTACTTCAAGAACGCACTTTCCATTATCATTCCCTTGTGATTTCAATGCTCTTTATCAGCAATACCAACTTTATTGTATGTTTCATGTCATGCGATATACTTGAAAATAATTTTTATTAAATTAATATTTTCATTAAATATTTTGATGAAAAGGTAAACTTTTATATGGAATTATGTAAACAATAATATATATGTAAAAGGGCAAATAAATGTGTGTAATTATCTATGTGCTTCAAACATATTTCCATGGAAATGTCATGAACTGGCCACGTAATCATCTTATGTGCTTTTTTTACTAATATATACATACGAATACATATTTATGTATATTACTCATTAAATTTTGATGAAAATAGTTAATAATTGTAACGTGTTTAAAATGAAGAATTGGCTCTGGATACACAGCACTTCAAATGCTTAAAAACATTTAAGGGTTATCGGTATCATATCAAAGCTTCACTAAAAAGCTTCGATAAAAAGCTTTACATCTGCAGAATAAATTAAAAAAAAGTTATTCATTTAAAAATATTTTGTAAGCCACACTATTATTGTTGGAGAAAACTTTTTTGTCTTCCATATAAAATGTACGTATGTACATACATCTATATATTACCACTTAAAACTCTAGTGCTGATAAAAAAAAATAATTATTTTCGGCCTAGTTTTTTAAATCAGCGGAAATTCACAAAAGCAAAATAATGAACCACTTGAATAAATAAATTTCTGATATGATGTATGGCTTATTAATGTGATACGTCACGTTCGTTCTGAGTCCTTTGACGAAATAATCGTTTTTGAAGAGTTTCTTTTGTAGCCACTACGTATTTATTGCGAAGCCAGTAGAAGTATGTATATGTATTAGACTTAAAATTCTTTGCTTAAACGTGAAGGAATCGTAAATTGCAAAGTCGTTCAATATAAAAAAGCTTTACGAGTTTTACGCAAGAACTTTAACCCCTTCAAAGTTGTAATGTTTCAAAGCTTCAAAGTAAAGTTTGTTCCAAAGTAAAAAAAATATGTATTTCAAAAACATTTTAAATGAAATGAAAATTACCATTCAAAAGAAAATGTTGGTAAGTAACAATTTAAAATTTGTTGAAATTGTTTAAGGATTTTTTTCAAATTTTTTAGTGGAAATTTAATTTTTTTTACTATCAAAAAAAAAAAGAAAAACATATTTTTAAAGTAAAAATATTGAACATATACATATAAAAAAGATGTAAAAAAAATTATTCAAATTTCAAAATATGTTTCAAAGAAAGCACAAAAGCTTTAATTAAAAAAAAATTTTAAATAACATTTTGTAGCTCAAACAATTTTTTACAAAGAAATATGGCAGAACTTTTTATTATGTACAAAAATTTTGGAAACTAAAACGAACAAGAAAGCTTTAAAAGCTTAAAAAAATTTAAAAAAATTAAAAAAGGTAATAAATACTTTCTTTGGTCAAAAAGTATAGTTTTTTTTAATAAACTGAAACTGAATTGTAGATAATATATGTATATTACATATGTAAATAATTTATTTTGTTATTTAAACAATTTTTGAAATTAAAAATAGCAACTCAAAAACTGCAAAAAATCCTTAACCTAACACAAATTTTATTAAATAATTTTGACAAAAAATTAGAAAATTAAAATTTTATTGCTTCAATTTCTTTATTTAAAAATAAATCAAAAAGAAAGAAGGCAGAAAATTTTTATCAAGATTTTTTTTATAAAAAAATTACTTTCCGTTCAAGTATTAATTTTTTTTTTTAAATTAAAACAATTATTTTTAGCTCCAAAAATCTTTTTATAAACAAGTTGAGACAAAAAAAATTTTAAACTAATATTTTGTTGTTCAAATACAAAATTTAGGTAGATTTTAGAAACTGAAATTAATTTTTTTTTTACATTTATTCAAAGAAAATAAGAAAATTAATATTTTTATTTAAAAACTTGGATAGAAAGAAAGGAAAAAAAAATATTATTTTACGCCAAAAAAAATGTATAGAAATTTCTGTGCAAAATTAATAATAGTTCGTTCGAAAATGTAAACAAAAATTACAAAATTTAACTAAGAAAACAAAAATTAAATTAATAATGAAAAAAAGTACAAAAAGACAGCCAGGGAAATTTTATAATGTGGGAAATTTTTTCAGGAAATTAATTTTTATTTTTATTTTTTTTTTTAACTTAACAAAAGCCATTCAAATACATCAAATGCAACTGCATTTTAAACACTTTTAATTGCACATAATCACATGCACTTAAGGATTTCCCACTTTCCAAAGATAGACACTTCAGAATGTCGCAAAAATTTACTTAGCAAATAATGATGAAAAGAAAATAAATTCCTTTTGGAAATGATGCAAATAAAAACAACAAAAAACTTCTCTAATTAATTTAGAGCAATTTTGCGACGTAAAGTTAGAACAAAAGCAAAATGTGAGAGCACAAACGCAGGGAATTTCATTATCAGAAATACTGGAGAGTTTTTAAGAATATACACACACACATATACATACATACATATACGTGTATGCATATATGATTTTGCAGTTAGTGAGAGATTATTGTCAATTTTATGAAATATAAACAAATACAATATGATACTTATGCATGTATTAAGTACTTACATACTTATATATATACGTGTACATTTACACTTTTGGTTGAATATTTCCCAAGCATGGGCGATCGACCGAGCAACATTTGCATTGTATTTTAAAAATGAATACGGTAACTTCAGATCAGTTCGACATTTGATTTCGACCGGTAAACAACAAAACCACAACAAAATTTAAAATTTTTTTCATTCGAGTAATTAATAAATTTCACGCGATTTTCGCGTCGCTGCCAATCGAAATATTTGTAATTAAAGCAAAGTTAAAATAATAATAATAATAATTACATTAATCACAATAATTTATACCAACAAATATGTATATGTTTGTATGTTTGCATGTACTCGTATGTATTGATTAAACAATTATTTCGTGAATTTTGCACGCAAAATGGCTCTAATCGTGAAGTGAATCAAAATGAAAAGTGATAATGGTTCCGCGCTTTGATCGACAGCGATTAATCGTTTTGACGCCCCTTGAGAGTGTGTACAAACGCTTGAAGTCGTGATAATCGCGCAAATGGCATAAGTGTAACAAAATTGTTTAAACACAAATTTAACAAAAAGCAAAATGAATGAATTAAAGAATTACATGGCGTTCGGTTTTTACACGACGGGTCCATTCACCTAGCTTGGCACAAGTGGAAAGCGTTGCATTAGTTGGTCCTTGAATAATGGCTTATTAACTTCTGCTTATGTATATTTTTGCGTGTGTGTTTTTTGAAACCGCAATTGATTGCTTTGTGGCTGGAGGACTTTTTTTTTTGTTTGTTTTTCAACTAAAGGGGCTCTTAATTGATTTTCGTCTCTTTTTTTTTTGAAGTCTTGCTTATCTCATCGAAAAACGTGTCGCTGATGCATACTCTTACATATGTACATATGTGTGTTGAAGCACAGATTACAGCGATTCCGATTTACAATAAAAATTAATTTATTAAGTTCAACGCTTTAACCCATTAACACCCAAATTAAAAGAAACCCAAGATTTTTTGTTTTGTTTTTATTTATTTTAATATTAAATTTTTTATAAATAATATTAAATTTTTAATTAGCTTATTAAAGTAAATTTTCGTTAATTTAATATTTTACTTTATTGTATTTTTTTTTTGAATCTTGTCGAACCTTTCGATATATTTTTTTTAATCTTTTTACTTGTATATATTGATTAAAAACTATAAAATGTACGTTCTAGAAATTTTTCCTAAATAGACGAGTTTTAAGTTATTAAAAATGAGTTTAATATATATTTTCATCTTGTGGATATTAATTAAAAAACTATAAAACTTTAAAGAAAAAAATTAAAAAGAAAATGCTTTTTGTAAAATATTTTCTTTTATCTAAATATTCATAAAAAATATAATTAATTTTTTTCTTAAAAATTTATTTAAAACAATTATTATTTATTTTTTTTTTTAATTTTATAGATATTAATTGAAAAAATGTGCATTTTTTAGTGAGTTTTTTGTTTATTTATCCAATTTAACTTAAAATTATTTAAGCTGTTTTGTTTTATTTAATTTAACTCTCTTTTTTTAATTTAGGCTATTTTTTATGTTATCCCATTTTATTTAATTTTTATTTTACTTTGTTTATTTTTATTAAATTAATTTGGTTTTATTTTATTTTATTTAGTTCCATTTTTTTTTTTATTTTGCGTAATTTTTATTTAACTTAATTTTATATGTTTATTTTCTTTTAATTTATTTATTTTTTACATATTATTTAACTTTATCTTTTTTTATTTAACTTTTTAATTTTTTACATTTTAATTTATTTTATATTTTTTATTTTTTTATTTAAATTTTTATTTATTTCTTTATATCTTTTTTTTATTTTGTTTTATTTTATTTAATTTAATTTAATTTTATTTTATTTTATTTTATTTTATTTTATTTTATTTTATTTTATTTTTTTTAATTTTTTTTTATTAGTTTATTTGATTTTAATGCATTTTAAAAAATTTTTAATTTTTTTTATTTATATTTTCCTCTTTCATATTGTATTTAATTAATTTCACTAAATAATTAATTTAATATACTTTTATATTTATTTGTTTTTATATTTTGTCCTAATTTATATTGCTTATTTTGTTTTATTTAATTTTCTATTAATTTACTTAGATTTCTTTTATTTTTTTTCATCAAATTTTATTTTTTAAATTTATTTAATTAATTAATTATTTTTAATTTCTTACATTTTATTTTTATTGTATCTTAGTTCATTTAAATACGTTTTAGTTTTTTTTTTGACTGAATTTTATTTCATTTTTTATTTTAATTTTATTTCACTTTACTTCGACTTATATTTATTTTAATTTTATAAATTTATTTACTTTTCTTTTTATTTAATTTATTTTATTTCTCTTCATTTTATTTAATATTATTTAACTTTTCAGTAGTTTTGCTTTATTTTATTCTATTTTTTTCATTTTTTATTCATGAAAAGGAAGTGTATAAGATTTTTCGTCTGACATACGTACATATAACATATTTACAGTATCTTTATTTAAATAAATGCGTATACATATTGTAATTTGCAAATTAATATTTGCTCAAACAATTAGGGTAAAATTACAATGCATTTACATACATACATACATATACATACTGTATAACTTAAGACACACAACTCGAAATCGTTTTATTTTAGATGCCAAGAGTGATTGAAATGCAGAAATATTTAAAAAAAAATTATAATTTTTATAAATATACCTTTTGATGTCATCGAAAATAATTAGTTATAGATTCCAAAATAGAAAATTAAATCATTTTCCAACTAAGTGCGCTCGAACAAATTTTCATAACTCTTTTCGCTGTGTGAAAATACAAAAAAAAACTAAAATGCATTGTTTAAAGAATTCGACACAATAAATTATAAAATATCTCAAGTAATTAGAGAATAATTCCCATAAAAAAATTAGCATTAAATATTGATAGAGAACGATAAATAGCTACGTGTACATTTGTATTTCATGCCTTCTGACAGAAATGTCAAAAAGGTACGCCCCTAAATGTGAGGCAGTCACAGCTGATAATTTTTCTTTTAACTCAAAATGTGAATTTGTCAAACTCACATGAAAAGATTAATAATAATAATAACATAAAAATAATTATTATTATAATAATATTAATAATAAAATAAATTATAATATAATTTTCCGCTAAAATTAGTTATTAGCGATATATAATTAACACATTTCTAAGAATTTTTTTTCACATATCTGAAAAGGCGACATAGAACCTGAACTCACTTGGCCATAAATATAGTGTTTAATTTATAATACATTCTCCAAATCAATAACTAGATTTATAATTTATAATATAATTTCACGTGTTCAAGTCAACTTTCCTCGCTTGATTAAATTTCTACTTAAATGCGCTCACAAGAATGTAGCGAAAATAATATGCAAAAATAATTTATTAAAAACAGGTTAATTCACTAATTTTCTAAACTTCTTAATATTCGTATAACTTTTTTATTTACTTCAAAACATGTTCATTATTTATTTTCTTTTAAATTTCTTTATTCATTTAATTATTGTTCTGATATGTTCTGATGAAAGTAAGAAAGGAATGAAGCGAAAGCAGAATGCAGTCAAAATGTTTACGAAAAAAATTAGGTTAGGTTCGTTTAAGATAGTTGATGTCAAGAAGGTCCCTCATAAACACATAAGGCTTTGTGATGTTGTTGTTGTTGTTGTTGTAACAGCCCAAAGTCCTTTTTGGGAATGTTGCGGGTGTGACAGTCCTTGGCCGGATAAAAATCTGGATCGTTCCGGTATAAAGACCCAACTGTCGCGGGAACTATTGGAAATATAGTCGCCTCTTATGACAGGCATGCCTTACCGCGGGTAAATTCTTGAGCGCCTAACCCGCAGGGGGTTTGTGATCATACACTCTCTTTCTTCGGTTAACCTCTTAGTGCTTAAGTGCAAAGCGAAATTTCATCTCCTCCTTCAGATATCTTCGGGGGAGATCCAACAGATGTCCAAGCCTCTTTGGCAATTGGACAATGCCCAGTCAGAGATGTGAAAGTTGCAATCTCAAAATGGAAAATAGCTTACTTAATTTCTACGCTTCACCAAGCAGGAATATCGAAACGGCGCAAGTGGAGCTGCTTATTGAACGCTCGTTAAGTTAGTTTAAGAACGAACTCTTCCGAAGGAGATAACATATTGACAAAGATGCACCAATTTTTCCAACATAACCAAAGAAGTGACTGCACATCAGTTCGATATTTCCCAACATTTCTATTGTGCCTCGGCGGCCCATATGATTTTTAATTTGAAATAAGTCAATGTCAGAGATACTGGGGTTTCACAATTCGGAGCTCAACCTCAGTAAACTCAACTGAAACCGTTTTCTCTTGCAATGTATCACGGCTTTCTTCGTAGTAACAAACTCCGCCTAAAAAAAAGCTGCATTGGTCTGAAAGCCAAACAGACTGCTTGATCCATAATTCTCTTCACAAGAAGACTTTCCATTATATTTATATCTTTCACCTTACCTCTTGTGAAGGACTTATAAGGCAGTAGAAGACACTTGGTTCGCAGGTAGGAGATACGGTGATACGTACAGCTAAGAATAAATTAAGAATTCTCAATAATATTAAAGTGTCTCCTGCTCGAGCTGAGCAAGTTTCTAGACTCAGTAAGTCTAAATTAAACTTTGTCATCAAAGAACCTGCATGCAGTGTCCACAGGCATCACACTACATACGTATAGTGTTGAACGCAGAAGAGTTGTCTTTCAAAAGACCGCGAATTTACTTTAGAAAAAAACTTGTTCCGAACTTACATGAGTATGTGATAAGAGTTAAATATTTAAATTTTAGCTACATGCAAGCATATGTGTAGCAAATCATTTTATCGTTATAGATAATCTTGAAGCAATTAACTGTAATTACTTACATATTTGCGTACGTAGTAAATACAATAATATTCTACTTGGAAACATTCTCTAAATAGATTTTTAATTTATTTACTTGTAATTAACGAGCGCTGTCACTGTGATAAAAAAAAGTCTTATTACGTATTTAATTTTTGAATTAACTCACTTTCAAACATTTGGAAAATCATTAAAACGCTTTATGAGTCTACGCGTCTTGTCAATTAAAGCGAATTGTCATTTTTTGCGATTTTTTTCTATTTCTAATAATGGTGTATATTTACTCGTAAGACTTAAATTTTATTGTTTAAAAACAGATATGCGATATATACTGATAACAGTATCTAAATATTTACATATGAA